GGTTCCCTGTTTCATCTGGTCAGTGTAGTGAACTGTGTTCCTTAAAATTTGGACTTCATGAGTTCAAGTGACTTTTCCAACCTAAATGATTCTATGAAATAAGCATCATGAAGGAAAAGCCTTATTTCCCTTCTTGTTTTTGCTGTACCGCTCCATAAATTGCCAAGATTCCTGTCCCTGGATGTTACTTCTCCCTGGCACTTATTTCCTCCAACACACTGGGCCATTCCTTGCAGGAAATGTAGAGTGGGGAAGAGATCAAATGAGTTCAGGGAAAATGCTTCCCCCCAGGAAAGGCTTTTGTAAGCTAATTTCCTGCCCAGAGTTTGCTCAGTTGCATCAGAGTTTCAGCAGTCTGTCAAAATTCAGACATCTCTTGTGATGTAAATGGATGACGGAAAATTGCTTACAATCCCCGCAGTGCTGTTAACACTCCATGCTAACTGGGAGCTGAATCGAGGTGGGTGGATTTAATGCCTAGCACATGGTCTGGGGTTTTTTTGTGCAGCCCCTCATGTTTTATTAGCTAATTACATCTGGAAACAAGCTGGTACATTGCAGCATTTATGTTAAGGGCATGCTCCTCCTCCCCCTAACGCTCAGATTTTTTTCCATTTGCAGTTTGAAGGGAGGAAGTACTGCGAACATGATTTTCAAATGCTTTTTGCCCCTTGCTGCCATCAGTGTGGTAAGTTTTACATCCAGGTGAAACACTTCACACATCCCAAATGAGAACATCAGGGTGGGGATGATGTGAAACCGTAGTGTATCTTCTCCGAGAGGTCCCCTGTGCCGCTGAGCATCTGAACTTCCAGGATGAACTGGACTTTGGGGAGCTGCTTTTCCTAAAGTTCATCAAACAACGAGATTTAAAAACAGAAAGTTTGCGTTATTTGGGTGGTTTAGCCGTTGATCCAGTGATCAGTGAACGGACCATTCATGACTCGTGGTTATGTACCTCTACACCCACGTGCTCACGCAGCTGAACCCTGCGACAGGTCTTTGTCATCCGCTTGGCCTCTTGTGACCCACCCGTGCTGTCCTACTCCACGGGCGCGGGGACAGTCTTTATCATCTGGTGTTATAATCCGCTGATGGGTGACCTGGTCCCCCTTCATATTTTTGAAACAAGTACCTTTAAGGCCTTAGTGTCTGATATCAACCCCATGTAACGCTGAGGGCCACGTTTTATGTGTCACTGCTGGTGTAAATGCTTGCGTGTCTGCTGCGCTGTAACCATTTGCACATTTTTTTCGCCGCTGCCTGTGACCCATTGCGCCCGAGCAGGGCTGGGAAGTCATTATTTCACTAGTCCTTAAACTGGTCTGGAAGCTCTTGTGTTCCTGTGGCACCTTGGCAAGGCACTACGGCTTTCGCTTATCTCTGCGAGGCCTTTCCCCCTTGGAGGGAGGGGGTGAACACCAAGGGAGAGAGAGGCAGATGTTATGGACCTTTGAATTTAAAGCTGCACATGTGAACAAGCTGAGGAAGAGGGAGAAAGGGGTCGGTGGTGATTTCTGAGGAGCTACACTGCCTTTCTCCAGGATTTCTCCTGCCCAGCCAGCACAGCTCCCGCTGCTCCTGCCCTGGCTCCTTGGAGCACCAGCTCCCTTAAAACCTCATCAACGTCCTGCGCAGAACTGGCCTTCACCACTGCTTGGAGTTAGAAAGCACAGCCAAAATCGAGGGAGCTGTTGTCAGTGGTGAGGCCTTGAGCATTCCTGACACTTGTAGAGACCATCGGGTTGTGTTCTTGAGGACCTGTGACTTGGTGGGAGCGCCATGCAGTCGCATCCTGGCAGTTACTGTCTGCTTCCCTTTGGCCGCTGAGTTGTATGTTCCTGTCGTGGTTTAACTCCGGC